GTCTTTTTATTTAAGAGCTCATTCATTTGCATAATTATTAGAATAACAACATTTTACGAATAAACGAGATCAAAATCAATACGAATGTATGGATTTTTGGTGACAAACCGCGCATTATCTGCAACAGTCAAATCAAGTAGTGGCAGTGGGATGCCAATTTTTAACACCGCTTCTTGGTATATTTTCACTGATTCTGCCAAAAATTTCTCCAGAAATTCCAGGAGCCTGGAATGCACATTACAGAAACACGTGTGAAGTAAACAGGGGTAGTAGAAATTAAGAAAAGTCATTGTGAATTTACCTGGGACTAAAATGTCCAATTTTGGAATCATGCTCGCGCACCATAACGGTCACATTATTAACGGTGCCAACAATTCTCCGATTGCGGATTGCTGGCATAAAATACATAGTCGAATCCATCACTGCAACTCTTTTGCTTTGGAAGAGTGCTGCTGCGCAGAGTAAAGTCTCGATCAATGGTAACGCTCAATAAAAATACTCGCCTTCAAAATGACCTACAAAATTTAGCATGCTTAAATAGGCTACTGACGAGGTTCAGTCAGAACATCCTTACTGTCCTCTAAGGACTTCTTGGTTCAAGTTCTCGCGCTCTCATCAAGTTAAGCTTCAATCTGTTGATGGTTCTTCCTTGCACTTTGCTTGAGAAGCAAGCTGAATGCAACAGACTGTTATTTTCCCTCACATCATCAATTCAAGGCGAATCGGTGGGTCATTGTATCTTATATGTTGGTGGTGGCAAATATGATTGAAGGGTCACAATGTGAGCATGCTGCCTGGAAAACAGGCTGAAAGTTTGATATTTTGCAAAACCTGTGAATTGGCCAACTATAAACCATTTGATTGCGGCAGGAAAAACTAGACAGACCACTGAATGTTCATAGATAATTCAGTCATTTAAAAAATTTGCGTCAACTTTCTAGGGAATTTGTACGTTAAGATCCAAATGTTTAGAAATGTAAACCACACATGAGGTGGAACGCGCTCCAGAAATTCCAGTTTCCTGGCTTCATCAGCTATCGAATTGAAAGCGGGTGGCAAAAATGCGAACACACACATACATGCACGCATATACATGCGGTTAGAAAACTCAGCGATTTGCGTGTTTGCATTTGGACAAATGTAATGTGCGCAAATGCATAAAAATGGGATTTTACCAAGTCGAGCCAATCTGCTTGCTTGCTTCTTCCACGGTGACAAATACAGGTCAATCGTGGAATTTGCACGAATTCGAATGCTTTTTTTGTCGACAGCAACGTACGGAGCTCGTGCCGACTTAACAAAGAAGTCAATGGTCCGATCCGGATACTTCGAGGGCAAATCCGGCAAAAATTTGCCAATACAGATTGTAAACAGTGAGCAGCTAAAAGCAGTGCACTGTACCGAGCGTGAAAAGAAATCGCACGCAGGCAACAAACAGATTTTAAGGAGATTCTACGCAAATACAGATGTACGAAATGAAAAGCAAATTAAGGCAAGAAAAGCAGTCGGTAACCCATTGCGTGACA